GAAAGACAAAGAGGAAGGGAAAATATAACAAAACAAAGTTGTATCATGAAATTGTGTTTACAGAAATAGTTGACATCCAAAGCATTTAGCAAGTAAAACTACAATGTAAGCAAGCACTCCGTTACCTGTACCCTATTGCTATCAACACAACATGCTATACACCATACACGCTTCTTCATACGTTGTAGAATCAGTCACTTGCCACGACACCTTAGCTATCACTGGGCAATTGCAGAACTCACCGTCCGTGTGAACTGCCGAAACATAAGTCCAGTTGTAGTGTCGAACAATGTCGATCATGACCTGCGCCTGGTAGTAATCAGAAGGGACGACCCTCATGAAGTACGAGAAACGGGATTTATCGCTCAGGTCAAGCGAGGTCGCCGAGTATCCCACCTGAGGGATCTGGAACAGCTGCATCAGATTTTGCACCTGCGGGAAGACAAGAGGGTACATTATACTAAAGAAATTATCATAAAGAATTATATATTTTCTTTTTTTTCAAAGAGTTCTTAATGGATGTTTTATCTTTTATTCATTTATGTATATATATATTTTTTTCTTTTATAGAAAATGGCTGAATTTACTATTAAATATAAATCGTGTTCCTAGATGTGCCTACACATACAAGAAAATCTGAAGTAAGTAAATGAAGCCATATTTTTCATACTGATCAAAATGTCCCAGTAATTTCCCAGCGAAGAGTCGATTCTTTTTTTGCGTCGTCCATATACACAGGAGATCACACGCACAAACCTGAACAATACACAACGACACAATGATGACACCATAACCTAAACACAACCCCCCCCCACCCATACAACAACAAAAACAAATGAAAATCGCACCTGAATCGTGACGTCAGAGGAACCCGGCCCGACCACGCCCACCAGATTCTTGCTCGTTGCCGTTGATTTACAGCTGTCGTTTTCGGTGCTGTTGCTGCTGCCTTCGGGGGTGGCCAGGGCGTCGCGGATGAACTCTGCAATTGCAAGATATTTCACTTATTGAAGGCTGCCACGCGGAGCAGAGGAGAGGAACATCTGTTGAATTACTGCCTGCGTTACTACACATGCGGCCGTTGCATGTTGAGAGTGATTTTGCTTTGCATTGCTGGAGACTGAGAAGAATTCGGATGGAGGGGGGGGGGCGGTTCGGCAGAATATTGTTTGGGGGAAATTATATTCGTCGATTTGTGTTTTCTCTCTCCTTTCCTGTATAAAGATGTCTCTATCTGTCTGTCTGTCTCCCTGTTGCTCTCTCTCTCTCTCTCTCTCTCTCTCTCTCTCTCTCTCTCTCTCTCTCTCTCTCTCTCTCTCTCTCTCTCTCTCTCTCTCTCTCTCTCTCTCTCTCTCTCTCTCTCTCTCTCTCTCTCTCTCTCTCTCTCTCTCTCTCTCTCTCTCTCTCTCTCTCTCTCTCTCTCTCTCTCTCTCTCTCTCTCTCTCTCTCTCTCTCTCTCTCTCTCTCTCTCTCTCTCTCTCTCTCTATCTCTCTCTTCTCTCTATCTCTCTCTTCTCTCTATCTCTCTCTTCTCTCTCTCTCTCTCTCTCTTCTCTCCCTCTCTTTTCACTCTTCGTCATAGTTGTTTGGAATGGAGGTACCATACTTCTCCCCAAGGTAGAAATATTACTCTTACAGAAATACATCTTATCTATCAAGTTAAACCTATCTCGTGGGAAAGAGGTTTTTTACCAAACAAAAAAGATAAAAAGATTTTTCCCCCACCCAACGGCCATTCCCCAGGGGAAAGTATTGTACAGATCACTCCCATATTTTTTTTTCTCTCTCCTGTATATACATGTACATTATATTTTTTTTTGCTTCAGAAGTGAACTAGATTAATTAAATTTAGTTTCTTTATTTTTTATCCTTCTTTCTCTACGTAGTTCCTTTTCATCCTAGTTTCTTTTCCTATCTTTCTTCTTTTTCCAGAGACAAGAGAGGCGTTCACTCAGGGTGTGATAATTTGAAAATGTCTGTTGTTCAGAAGCATTCGCTCCTTGGAGTTCTTTTTGTAGTGAGACAAAATTATAATAGCTTTATTTATACGTATTGTCTGTCTGTTTATCTATATACAGTTATCTATATGATGTAGATCTATACCTGGTATCTGATATGCAATACACGGTACTTTGTTTATGACCTGCATGAATGAAGCTCGTCATAAACAATCTTTAGTATCATACCATATACCCTTGGTGTTTCTCACTAGCACTGCCAATAAAAGGAAAACAGTAGTAATTCCATATAAGCTCCCAGTTTCTCTAATTCGGCGATTTTTTTTTTCTTTACATCTTAAATCTCTTTAAAGACAGTCTTGGTTCCTTAATCCCCACTTTCTCACCTCCTATTTTTCGCCTTGACCCGCATGTCACCCTAATCCCGCTGGGTTTTGGCTCTTTAATGACATCATTATCGAAAGGTCACGACCCTTAATCTATGCCCGTTTCTATTAGACGTTCGAAATTTTAAATGACTTATCCTGAATAACCTAATTCTGTTGAGTGTTTGATGTCATTAGCATCGCTTACGACATTCTCGTAAATAAGTTTAGATTATATTCTTTACTTATGGTTCATATTACGTCCAAATACTTCTCTCCCACGATATGGAAGCCGTGGAATTCTATCCTTTGCTAGCCCCAAATTTCTCTCTCACAAGAAATTTCTCTTTCACAAGATCTCTCTCAAAATTCAGACATATGTTACTCTTGCCACACTACAGTAAACAAACTTTTCTCTTGGTAATTAGGCATTGAATATATCTCTTTCACAATCTCTACAAGCAGTACGGTAAATCACACCCATAAGACCTAAATCACGGTGCATAAAAAGTACTTTACTCACACCACTCTCACGATCCATCACTCCCAACATCCAAACGACAGCACGGCTCCTACCTCTTACAAGACCCTGGCAATGGGTACATCAACTCTCACCAAACCCAGACAACGTTCCATCACTCCTTAAGAACCGACCACCAGCCTTAGCCTCACAGTTCCTTCCTCACCTATGCTCTGCTCGAGGGCGATGGACGAGTACCAGCACGAGTCCCGAATTTCGACGCCGAGGGTGATGTTGGGCAGCAGATCCGGGTCGGCGTTGATGTTGTCGATGGCCAGGAAAGCCGCCTCCACGCGCTGGATGCCGTACTGTTCGCGGATCTGAGGGAGACGAAGGAAGCAGAGGCTGCTGAGAGGTAGATAAGTAGGTAGGTAGGTAGGTAGAGAGATAGACAGATAGATAGATAGATAAATAGAGAAAGAGAGAAAGAGAGAGAGAGAGAGAGAGAGAGAGAGAGAGAGAGAGAGAGAGAGAGAGAGAGAGAGAGAGAGAGAGAGAGAGAGAGAGAGAGAGATAGGTAGGTAGGTAGGTAGACTAAGATATAGATAAATAGATAGATAGATAGATAGATAAGTAGGTAGGAAGGTAGATAGATAGTTAAATAGACTGATAAATAGGTAGACAGATCGATAGATGAAATGAATACATGAATAGATTGATAAACACATAGATAAATAGATAGTTAGGGTTGTTAGATAGATAGATAAAAGATAAAGAAGCAGATTATTAGATCGATGGATATATAGATGGATTAGTAGATAGATAAACAGATATACAGACAGGAAGACAGGCAGACAGACAGACAGACAGATAGTCATATATATATATATATATACAGATAGAAAGGTTGGCTGGTAGACAGAAAGACAGACAGACAGATATATAGATAGAGGGATAGACAGATAGATGAACAGACAGAATAACGTGAAATAGAAATGAGAATACATGACGTCAAGTGAAAGCAGGATCCAACATTCAATATTCAAGGCCAAACAATTATAAAACGAGAGCAAGAAATAAAATTTAAAACTACGTGTCTAACATGAAATAACAATTTAATATGAAAGTGATGGTTGCTTTCATCCAGTGCGAAGAGGCGTGGCGCAGTCCATGAGAGCTGCAAGTGGCTGTTAAACTTCAGGCAAGAAGGCTTCTCGCTTCGTGACAGGATGAAGGGCAGGGTTTTTATGCTTCTTTTTATTTGACTTTTGAGGTGCCTTCGCTCCGGTTGCAAGGATAGATAGATAAAGAGAGGGGAGGGAGGGGGAAAGATGGAGAGAGTGAGAGAGAGGTAGGGGGGGAGGAGGAGGAGGAGGAGAGAGAGTGAGAGTGAGAGTGAGAGTGAGAGTGAGAGTGAGAGAGAGAGAGAGAGAGAGAGAGAGAGAGAGAGAGAGAGAGAGAGAGAGAGAGAGAGAGAGAGAGAGAGAGAGAGAGAGAGACGGACGTACTAAAACAGACAGAGAGAGGCAGGGAGATGGGAGAGAGAGAGAGAAACAGACAGACAGAGAGAGACAGACAAGTATTTCACAAACAAATACTTCCCTATATCATTAATCAGAACTGCAAAAAAAAACTATGCTTAATATAAGTAACATATCACGAGGAACAAGACTGGAATATCCGATAAAAAAAATCCCAAACCTAAAACCTAACGACTAAAATTGTAGGGAAAAAAAAATATTTCAGCGAAATTTAACAGCAGCAAATCAACTCCGCTTCTTATTCCACACCTGAGCAAGACCAGATAACGAGGCCGTGCATAATATCTGCATAATGAGTGCGAGTGAAATGGCACTTCCGGCCCGTACTAGCAAATGGCCCCGGACTTCATTAAAAGCTGATGACGTCACTCATCACGTGTCGGCCAATCCGCTCATCCAATTGACGTAAAGGAAGCTGAGTCAGTTGGCGACTTCAAAAAGGGTTTGATGTCACGCGGAAGGTAACGAGTGCCAGGTTTGTTGCGAGGTAATTTTGATGGGTGACATCTATTTCGCCCTGACTGCGCTCTGATATCATTATCATGATTAGTTCATTAGGTTGTCTAGTGTGTCAGCAAGGCAAGAAAGAAAGAAAGAAAAAAAAGATTAGAAGCCAACTAACTTTCCTTATCACTAAACTACCTTGGTTTCCGTTAAAAGTATCAGGCAACTTGCGATATTAAGTAAAGATAACACACCAAGATTCCAGGAATAGTCGACGAAATTTGGAGGTCTGAGCTGCACTTCGCGCGGATTATCGCTGTCACTGGCTGCCTTTAACGGTCTATTAAGACAAAGACTTTCGTTACTGATATGGCAGCGGCGAGAGCGTAGCAAGCATTTGTGGAATGTCACCGTGCCAAGTTTGTGTAACTTATTTATGCTGATAATTACATCACGTTTCCTTTCTGTAAACTTTATCATATTCATTAACATTTCCTTTGTAAAATTGTCTCCATATTCACTGAACTAAACACTCCAAAATCTAATTATCACTGATTGCAAAAAAAAGAAAGAAATCAAAACAACATGAGCATAACTTAGTTTCAATTTAATTTCATATCACTTGTTTTACGACCTCCGGGCTCCCTTCTGAGCAGCAGCGACGTGCAAGCGACTTCCCGTTCCAGAGGTTCGACTCCACGCAATAGACTTCTATAATTGCGAGTTCAAGGCTGCCTGTGTTCCTGTAATGACTGTCATATGCTTCGATTTTGTATGGGCTGCGCGGGGGGGGGGGGGGACCTTATTGGGACTTGCGGCTGCTGTAGTCAGAGATGATTAAGTTTGGGGCTGGAATTCATTAGGACAAAATGAATTGGCTATCGTCAGAAAGGCGCTGTTTGTCCGAAAGAAGAAATCCTCTCCTTCCTTTCTGATCTGATTTGTTATGCGTTCTAACTTTTTGATGCTTTTAGCTGTATCACCCGCCTCCTCTTCGCCCCGCCCCCTGCCTCCTTTTGTGCTCCCGACCATCGGCAAGTCTTCCCTCGGCACTTCCATGAGGCTCTTTTATCTTCTCCGCACCTGCGGCTCCGTCTTCGGACTCTTTCTCCTGATATACGCCGCATATGTGTGTGTGTGTGTGTGTGTGTGTGTGTGTGTGTGTGTGTGTGTGTGTGTGTGTGTGTGTGTGTGTGTGTGTGTGTGTGTGTGTGTGTGTGAATTCTTATCCGCATGGAATACACACAAAAAACACTTTTCTTTTTGTTGTTTACAGGACATTCACTTTTGCAAGCTAACAGTATAAAGGCGTTTAGTCATGGAAACATTCCACGACCCTTTGCTATCAGTGGTCATTGGTTTACGATCGCCTCTATCCGCTATCCCCTGTGCGAATGTGCCTGGCGAGTGTGTACTCAGAAAGCCGGCTGCTCTAGAACCCAAGCAACTCGGTTCCGGAAGAAGGCACTTTGACCCAATCATGCGATCGACCTGTGTTCCCAGTGCCGATCGGGCAGGGAGAATGAACGACCGAAAGTTGGCACCATTAATAACACGCTGATCTTGCTTACTCTTTTGGGAACATCTCTCGTTAATAGTATGATGGTATTTCCCTTTTCCCATTTTCTTTGAATCTTATTTCATCCACTTTGTAATAAATTACCTTTTTATCCAGTCTGTTTTCAGGTACTTCAGTTTTCAATCGCTGGTAAATATTTTTTTTGTAAAACGATATCATTGATTGATCTGTTGGTATTTAATATATATTTCCAGAGTCTTTTGAAGAAGCATTTGAAACTTCATATAGCTTATAATCATAACTTCTACGAGTATAAAAATACTAACAGCTTTTATCCTGTCAGGTTTCGGTGAAGCCAGCACACCTCACCTCTACTAATTCACTTTGAGACTTTATTATAGAGTTATTTCTGAACATAGAACATTCTTGATAGACACATTTGGGAGTTGAATTGTTGCCCTTTAGGGAGAAGAGAAGGGTTTGAGGCAAAATTTTGAAATAATAGGAATTAGAGTATCCCTTCCCCCCCTCTATCGGATGATGAAACAACTGTCTAAATTCTTCTCCTGGTGAGACACTTGTAATTATTTTTATAGTTCTAGCTAACCCTAAGGACATTAAAACAGGAAGTTTTGTAAAAATCAAACTTTACCTTGACAATTTTCAGCTAAAAGAACTAAAATTGCATAAACAAATCTACATGGAGGCATAATATATTTGTAGTGATTTGGAACTTATTTTTGTCCTAATGAATTCCACGTGAAGCTACATATCTTATGATGACTGTAATACGGACTCTGGAGATTCCTTTTCCCTACATATCTGGGAACACTTGATTGTCTTTATCGCATTAAAGGAAAACATCACCTGTATTGAAAGTATTTTGTAATCTAGAGAGTGAATATTCTTGAAATTAAGCATACATGATACAGGCTACCGTAGTATCCAAATGGAAAAGATACAATAAAAATGCTAAACACATCTTACCACGTTCAGACAAATGTCTGACTGTCCACCCAGACACGGAGTCTAGTTCTGCTGTACCAACCTGACTACACGACCCATTAAAATAATATCCGAGTAATGATAACTAAGTTGTGAAGGCTGTCCCTGTGGAAACTCGGCGGCAAAAAATCAAATACTACGGTGCCAAGTGCCATGAGCTGTCTATGTAAGATGGAATAGCAGTTCCAGAACAATACCCTCCTCTCTG